GTAGTCAATGTCACTGAATTGTGCATGTAGAAATTTTTGAAATGGTGTATCTTTGGCTATGTGTATTTTCACCAAAAAAAAAAAGGTTGAGAAGTTAGAGGTTTGACATGTTGTGGGGTTGTTAACCAATGTCATAAAACAATATGTGTACTACTGTTTCATGAGAAACTATTTATTCTGTAAGCCTTCACTTGAAGTACAATTAAAAAAAAAAAAATTATACTTCTCCCATGCTATGTGTGCTGCTGACACTAATCTTTCAAAGCAGGAAAAATTACAGGTGAGAAACTACACAAATAAAGTATAAAAGCATCAAATAGCACTCAAAAATACATGAGGTTAAAAACACAAAGTGGAGTTTTCTAGAAAGCAAAACAAAATAATCAGTGAATAAATTAAACCAATCAAGTGTAAAATCAAATTCAACATCTTAGGAGTAAAGAGACATGGTTTTATATGCCTGATAATAATCATTGAGTCCACGTGAATAATAAAACTGAGGGTAGACAATTGTGAGACTTTATTATAGAAGACTATAGATGCCATGAATCCAGAAAGTAAAGTACCCAACATACATCAATAGCATAATTTTAATGGGCATTGAAGGAGGCGAGATGTCATCTGTGGCCATGACATTTGCATTTGGTTCTGTGGGCAGTTAAGCAGATTTATTAGGGATATAATTGCTTAGAAATAGTCTTGAATTTATGAAACTTTAGAGGATATCAAAATTAAATGATGTTTTGAAAGTAAGTAAAATTGGGTATTCTGAATACTAGAGAATTAAAATACTTTGATTAAAAAAAAAGTTGCCATGAAGTTGACTTTGACTTATAGCAACCCCATGAGTGTCAGACTAGAACTGTGCTCCATAAGATTTTCAATGGCTGCTTTTTCAGAAGTAGATCACCAGGCCTTTCTCTCGAGGTGCCTTTGGGTGGACTTGAACCTCCAACCTTTCGGTTAGCATTTTCACCACTGAGGGACTCCACTTTGATAACAACACCAAAAAAACTTGTTGCCTTCTAGTCGATTCGACTCAGAGCGACCCTATAGGACAGAGTAGAACTGCCCCCATAGGGTTTCCAAGGCTGTAATCTTTATGGAAACAGACTGCCACACCTTTCTCCTGCAGAGCGCCTGGTGGGTTCAAACTGCTGACCTTTTGGTTAGCAGCCAAGCACTTAACCATTGCACCACCAGGGCTCCTTCACTTTGATAAAAGTACATAATAACTAAAGTGTTGTAGTTTATTCCATCAATTGTCCTAATCCTTCTCTCTAAAATATCTTACAAATAAATGGCTATTAATTCTCAACATCCATTTCCAGTAATTAATATGAAAGTCTAATTTCCTTTTGCTTTTGCAACTTAAAGTAGCAATGATTTAAATACTTAAAAGAATTCAGCTACAATTTATATTCCCCCCAAAATAATATTACATTGTAAAAAAACTTTTTTTTTTTTACTGAAAAGATTTATGTAGACAACAGACAGTCCCTGATGGAGCAGCAGAAAGATGGGGTGCAGAACTCAAATTCTGGTAAGAAGACCAGACTTAATGGTCTGACTGAGACTGGAGGTACCCCAGAAAGCATGGCCCCTGGACTCTCTATCAGCCCAGAACTAAAACAATTTCCAAGGCCAACTGTTCAGACAGGGATTGGACTAGACTGTGGGACATAAAGTGATACTTACAAGGAGTGTACCTCTTAGCTCAAGTAGATACAAGGGGCCAAAGGGGCAGCTTCTGTCCAGAGGTGAGATGGGAAGGCAGAGAGAATTAGGAGCTGGTTGAATGGACATGGGGAATCAGGGGCGGAAAGGAGGAGTGTGCTGTCACAGAATGTGGTGAGCAATTAGGGTCACATAATAATTTATGTATAAAATTTTCTATGGGAGACTAACTTGAAATGTAAACTTCATTTAACTACAACAATAAAAAAAAGAAAGATTTGTGTAGAACACTAGGATATTAGGCAAAGTAGTTCTCACACTTGAATTGGGAATAAAAGCTCTGCTAGGGATAAAAATAGCAAAAATTAAACTGAATTGTGTCACCCAAAAATGTGTGTCAACTTGGCTAGGTCATGATTCCCAGTATTGTGTGGTTGTCCACCATTCTGTGATCTGATATGATTATCCTATGTGTTGTAAATCTTAACCTCTATGATATTAATGAGGCAGGATTAGAGGCAGTTATGTTAATGAGGCAGGACTCACTCTATAGGATTAGGCTGTATGTTGAGTCAATCTCTTCTAAGATATAAAAGAGAGAATTGAGCAGGCAGAAAAGGGGCCGCATACCACCAAGAAAGAAGTGCCAGGAGTGGAGTTTGTCCTATGGACCTGGGGTCCCTGCGCTGAGAAGCTTATAGACCAGGGGAAGATTGATGACAAGGACCTTCTCTTAAAGCCAACAACAACAAAAAAGCCTTCCTCTGGAGCTGGTACCCTGAATGTAGACTGTGAGAGAATAAATTTTTGTTTGTTAAAGCCATCCACTTGTGGTATTTCTGTTATAGCAGCCCCAGATAACTAAGACAGCAGTCATTTTAAACATACTTTTAAGGTACTAGAGAATTTATATAATAAAAAGGCTTAGATGGGTTCAGGGAGAATAATCTTTTCCATTAGAGTGAAGAATACAAGACTTCATATAACATTGGGGTGTTTAATGAATACCAAAAAAAAAAAAAAAATCCCATTGCTGTCGAGTTGATTCCCACTCATAGCGACACTACAGGAGAGAGTAGAACTGCCCCATAGGGTTTCCAAGGCGCACCTGGTGGATTTGAACTGACAACCTTTGTGGTTAGCAGCCATAGCCATAACCACTATGCCACCAGGGTTTCTGTTTAGTGAATAGGGTTATGGAAAATTGTATTTGGTTAAAAGTGAGGTAAGGATTTAGAATAAATAGGAAATGAAGCATGCTAACTGAATGCCATTTGTGCAGTTACTGTATTAGTAGGATGCGTTATGGCTTGAGATTTATTGATCGTTGGGGCTCATTATTTAGTTTCTTCTCCTCCTTGTACTAACTTGGCATGATAATAATCTGGACTTACGGAATGCAGAATCTAAGAGTGCTTTAAAAAGAGAACTTGTTTCCTGAAGTACCTCTGAAGTAAATTAAATACAATTTTATGAGAGCAATACTGAGATGATGAGGTCAAGAAACTGTCCAAGAGTGGCATAGTCCCTGAAATAGGACTAAAACAGAGACATCAGCATGGGATCCCATAGTTTAAGTAACTAGTCAGGGACCGGAGAGACGCAGGTATGTTTCAGTCACGGCATTTGCTTTTGGTTCAAAAAAATAAACCCGTTGCTGTCAACTCCAACTCATAGAGATCCTATAGGACAGGTTAGAACTGCCCCATAGGGTTTCCAAGGAGCCACTGCTGGATTCAAACTGCCAACCTTTTGGTTAGCAGCCAAGCTCTTAACCACTGTGCCATCAAGGCTCCAAAAAAACCTGGAACGTTTCACAAATTTTCGTGTCATCCTTGCCACAGAGGCCATGCTAATCTTCTCTGTATTGTTCCAATTTTAGCCTATGTGCTGCCAAATTGAGCAAGCTTTTGGTTCAGTGAGGAGTTAATTTAAGTCAGATAATGTTCACTTCGTTAGCTACTCTACAAATGTTTTGATGTTTCTATTTTTTAAGTTTTTCTATTAATTAAATATTTTCTTAGTGAGAATGCATTTTACTACTACCGTATTTTTATTGTATTTTTAAATGTATTTCTACATTTGTTTGCCAATCTTACCCTCCCCCCATGAGGTATTTTCACAAGCATGCTATGCTAATTTTTTTACAGCTACATGTAAAAAAAAAAAAACATTGGCGAAGCAGTGCTTATGAAAATACCTCGCAAGGGAAGAAGAGAGTGTGGTTGGTGAATTAATGTGGAAGGTGTATGTTATTTGTGTAAAAATATGGTAATTATAAAGACTCTGCTTGATTTATATGGCTACTGTTAGTATTTGGTTAATGTGCCCTGCTCATTTCATTACTGATTTGAGCACTTTATAGATTCCAGCTTCTACTCTTGCTCTCCTGTAATATGTTTCTCCACACAGGACCCAGAAGAATCCTTTAAAAAGGTAAATTAGGTCACATTTGATTTATCTTTTATCTCCACTGAAGCCTTCCAATGACTTCCAATAACAGGAAATTATTTCCAAGGTCGCTATGAGTAGGAATCGACTTGACAGCAATGGGTTTTATAAGGCTTTGTATGATCTGGTTCTTGGTTACCTCTCAAAACTCGTCTTCCACCATTTTCCTGCTCCCTTATTCTGTTCCTGCCCACTGGCCTTTGTGATGTTCCTCAAGCACTTTAAGCAGTCTCCTGTCTGGGCTCTTTGTTCTAGCTACAACATGTTCGCTGATTTTCACTTTGCTTGCTCCGTTATTTCTGGTCTCTGTTTAACCTCCTTTTCCTTAGAGAGGCCTTGTGTTGGGAAGTGAGAAAGCAGTCTATCACATGACTTTCCATTCCCCACCTGGACCACCTAGTCAGAGTCCTTGGGCTCAGAACATTCCCTGATAATGTAGGCTGGGAACTGTGCCTCCTTCTGACCCAGTTTGTTTTTCCTCCTCATCAGAGAAACTTTTTCCCAGTTCTGGATTCATAGTCTGCATACTGCTAAGTGCGTGCATTATACGGCACCTGGCCAACCCCATTTCTATATCTGTTCCCAGTGGAGAGGGAACGAGGTCCATCTTCTGCAGCACAAGAGAGGGTGCATGGAGACCATCATCTTTGCATTTGTTGCTATGGTATGACCCACTGGCCACGGGGAACTAACATCCACTACTGAATCTCACCTTGCTTTGCCTCTTCTCTGTGTGATACAGCATTGTTCAACCCAATGCCTGTGTGTAAGTCATGTCTTTCTTGGTAACCCTGGACCTTGGCCCAACTGTTTGGCACAGAGAGCTGGGTTGACACCTTGTCTGAGCATTTTGTTTAAAGTACTGTTCTCTCTACCATTATTCTCCATCACCATATCTCTGTTTTTAAGTACCTTGTAAAGAATTGTTTCATATCTCAGTGATGCATTATATCATTTTGTGTGTTTATTTTGTCTCATCTGCTAGAATGTAAGTTCCACCCAGGTAGGGATTTTATCATTTGTTCGCCTCTTACTGCTGTATCTCTAGTGACTACAAAAGTGGTTGGTACATAACACATGCTTATTAAACATTTTATGAGTAAATAGATTAATATAATACTAAAAGAATTTGGGCAGTCATAATAAGGAACTATGGGCTTGAAATGAGCCAGGTTTTCTGAAAGCAATTTAGAATTGTTCCAAGGGAATATGAAGCAAGAATAATACAAAGGCTGCACTGTATCATGGACATTAATTTTGAGTTTTAATTTTTAGTTTTTTCCTGGGGTGGGTTCACTTTAAGTTTTTAATATAGAGCCTACATTATATAGGAACAACTGTAATTCACAATGATCTAAAGATAATTCAGAGAAAATGCTTCAATGCCTTTGTATCTTATGTTATGACAACATATAAAATAGCTATTTGGGGAATTTGTAGGCATGAATACTTGGTTGAATCCATGAATTTATGATTCTCATTTATTTTTTAAACAAAGGTTGACATTTAGTTGTATACAAAATAACTAACATAAATATTATCTTTATTTATAATTCATTAGTTCAGATTGTATAATTTCTGTTGCTCTATCTTCAAGTTTACTCTTTCCTCTGTGTGAGATAGTAAATGTCTACTGTCTTAAACTGCCAAATTTGTTACATAGATAGAGATAACTAAAACAGCCAAAAAGTAATTAAATATTATGACAGTTTCCAAGTTTCTGTTTATGTACAGTGGAAGGAAAGTTCAATTTTTATTGCAAATCCTCAATGTATTATTTCAGCTGTACTGGTTTCATTCTGATAGACTTGAGATAAAGTTTTAGCGTTTTCAGCTTTTTATGTTCTCCCAGAACTAAGCAGTTTTCTCCAGGGCTTTGATACTGACATTGTATTTGATTTATAGTATACATAGCAATTAGTATGTACTAGAGTAATGATGGAGCCCTGGTGGCACAGTGGTTAAGAGCTTGACTGCTAACCAAAAGGTTGGCAGTTCGAATCCAGCAGTGGCTCCTTGGAAACCCTATGGGGCAGTTTTACTCTGTCCTGTAGGGTTCCTATGAGTGGAAATCAACTCAGCAGCAATGGGTTTGTGGTTTTTTATGTTTGTTTAAAGTAATGGTAAATCTCTGGTGGCGCAGTGGTTAAGCGTTCAGCTGCTAATCAAAAAGGTCGCTAGTTTGAATTCACCAGCCATTCCTTGGAAAGCCTATAGGGCAGTTCTACTCTGTCCTATAGGGTCTCTATGAGTTGGCATCAACTCGAGGGCAACGGGTTTTTAATAGGTTAGCGTAATAATGAATTGCAATCATTCCAAAACACAAAGATGATCATAAACACAAAGATGATTTATACAACATAAGGTCAAAAGGTACTCATTTCCTTCATGGATTCACATCCAGTAAATGTGTACCAGATTCATTTAGCCACTATACATAACCTGATGCCAAAGGTTAGAAATTTATTGAACTCAACTAAGTTTTAAATGCTGCTTTTTTGTTTCTGTATATGTAGATTAATATTTACAATTTAAAGTTAATCCACTTTAATAGTACAGTTAAAAATATTGAAATTAGAGGTAACATGCAAAATAACCAAAAATAAGGTAAATGAAGTATCAACAAAGTAAAGGTTAGAAGATAACCAGCAGTATTAAGATCATAAAAACTCCTATTTTTTATTTTTTCTATTCCTATAAATACTTTTGAAAATCTTTGTGCATCATAATAGTACATTTGGAACACTTTCTTTATCAATCAATATTTTTAGGTAGTTAGAACCTCATATTACATGCAAATCTTCCTTGATTCTGAAAAGTGAATCTTTTACAATTACCTTAATGCACAGGAACTTTTAAAAAAAATATATCTTCCAGGAAGGCTTTGGATTACATCATCATACAGTGATGCTTAGATTTTTGGGATTGTCTAGTATTAGTGGTTGTCATAAAAAAGCGAATATTTGTCATATTTAGACCAACTCAACCAAGGAGCAGTGGAGGCACAGTGGTTAAGGATTTGGTTGCTAATCAAAAGTTTAGCAGCTTGAACCCACCAGCCACTCCACAGGAGAAAGATGTGGCAGTCTTCCTCCATAAAGATTACATCCTTGGAAACCCTATCTGGCAGTTCTACTCTGTCCTATAGTGTTGCTATGAGTTGGAATCAACTCGACAGCAATGGGTTTAGAGCAACCCAGAAAGAACTGGATACAACAGCTCAAGTTACTGCATGTATGAGAATATACACTCAGTTTTGCTTCATATTTTGCATACTGTAAAAACAACATCTGTTTTGAATTATACTTTGGATGTAATTATGCTTTGCTTCATACTAATTCTGCATTTAATGGAATTTATTCACATTGAAAACAAAATGTAATTAAAAAAAAAAGGAATGTATGATTGAAAGAGCAATAAACATATTTAGGTCCAAATAACTAAAATTACTGGTCAGCTAAGGGCTGGCTGATTTTGAATAGTCTCAGCTGGAGCAACTGTGGTGAACATTGTCTAGCAAGATAACTTGTCATATTTTCATGGTGATGACAAAGTGCAAGAGTAAGACAAGTCTATAAAACAGTGCCTTTAAAGTACGTGCTTGTGCCACGTTTGCTAATAGCTCATTGGCCATAGCAAGAGGATAATAAGTGCTATGATTGAATTGTGTTCGCCAGAAGAGATATGCTGACAATCAAATGCCTGTACCTGTGGGTATGACCATATTTGGAAATAGGGTTTTTATTTTGTTATCACGTTAAATAAGGACCTATGGGAGTAGGGTGGGTCCAAATCCCATTCTCTTCTCAGTGATGTCTTATACAAAGGGACAGACACGGAGATAGGGTCACACGCAGGGGGAAGACAGACAATGTGTGACAACTAAGGCAAATGCATCTATGAGCAGGAAGGAGCACCAAGGATTGCTGGCCTGTTAAACCCGTCGCCGTCGATTCGATTTCAACTCGTAGTGACCCTACAGGACAGAGCAGAACTGCACCATAGGGTTACCAACGGACAGATGGTGGATTCGAATTACCGACCTTTTGGTTAGCAGGTGAGCTCTTAACCACTGTGCCACGAGGGGTCCAAGGATTGCTGGCAGCCACCAGAAACTAGGAGAGAGGCATGGAACAGTTCCTGCCTCAAACCTTCAAAAAGAATAGACCTGGCCAATGCCTGAATTTGAACTTCCAGCCTACAAAACTATGAGAAAAGAAATTTCTGTTCTTTAAAGCCACCCCCTTTGTGGTATTTTGTTATGGCAGCCCTAGGAAACTCAGATAATAAGTGATAAAATAATTTGTAAAAAACACTAGCTATGGAGAAAAAAATTTTCATATCAATAATCAGGAATCACATTACAGTCCAGTCAGAAAATTTTAAAACGGGCTTTTAAATAAAAATGGAAAAATGTCACTGTGATATCAGTTTCTGTTGTAATGAGAATTATTC